GAAGATGAAGTAAGTGTTTTCTTGTTCAGAACGTCTTCCCCTATTAAGTTATGTTTCTTTTCAGCGTTCATATTTTTCGTCATAGACTTTGCAACTCATGAATTGGAATCATAACGCTCGTGCTGTTTATTTATAATGATGGTAGGGTAAAGGTTCTGGCTGCAGTCCATGGCTGCATTTTATTGTGTGTTCTTTCTTCTTATTGCTATTTTCAAACATGTTACATGCATCGCAAAATGAGCTTTTTTATCGAATGATTCTCTTGAAAAGGATTTAAACAAATATTTCACAATATTGACGTCGGTAATAATATATCATCTTGATGTCACCCTTTGTCTGAGAAGTTAAATGTATGTATAATCAGTGTCATCAGGTATGTAATAACTTCGTTTACGGTAGACTAGGCTGCTGTTTCACATCACAACTCGACTAGCTTTGCTCTTTAACTAATGCCAGACAAGAAGAAACGTACTATAATGAAGTGATATAACAATGACCCGCTTCCCTTTTAGATTGTTTTCTATTGATGAGCCCAGTAAACCTTTTATGATATATAGTTATCCGAATTTCACAAGCCAAATTTCAGTCTCGGATTAGTGCTAGGAAAGTCTCGAGTCATTGTAACTTAGTAAGATCTAATTTGAATATTAAATGTGTAAGTAAAACAGACTATATAGGTCACCCTCATTGATTAAAACACAATAGTGTGTCATCTCTTTTTAACCTTATTGCGGGGTCATTTAAGATCTCATACCTCGCTTGCTTTCTTATTAATTTCGATGATGAATTAGATATTATAGCATTAGCGTGATTTTGGCCCCGTACAGAGTGATTCATCTGATTCTGTATACAGCAGACGATTATCAAATGTGGTATGTAACATAAAGATTGATAAATTGAAGATTACACACGTTTCATTTCTGAATCCGCAAAAATGCAACCACAGCTTTTCATTCATGATGCAATGTATTTTGTTATGTCTGGCAAATTATGGACAATCTTTTGCCAAATCTGATTTTAAATTACACAAGTAAAAGTGTTGGAAAACCTATAAACCACTCTAGAATTACCTACTCTCGCTGAATTTTCTATTCTGATAGAATTTCCTTTGAAGGTTTACATCACTGAAACAGATATCAAATAAATTTATGACAAAAGTTTCACATAAAATTCCTTCTTCAACCACAAAACGTAATAGGATGTTACAAGTTCAATAGGCCGGAAGATTTATCAATTACACTGGGAGGTTAGTCAAACAGTCGGGGGACCGGGAGGGGATAGTCGGTGGTTTGTGAAGGGGTAGGGGGAAGGAATGAGTCAGTCCCCCAGACCACGTGACACCGAGAGGAAATTGGACCAATTGACAGTATATTTGTTTACATTAAATAGTTAGGATTAAAACTGACAGGAAAATGCGGTGAGGTAATGAAAGTAGGTTAAATACTTACTGTCGGCCAACAAGGGCAAATAATGACGAATTATATGAAGTACGTCTGTAAAATAGTGGGATGGGGGTCATTACAGCAAGGAGGAACAAACCACCAATTATAGCAAGATAAAAATACATTTCGAAAGTACTTCCTCCTTCTTTGTGTTTATAGCGGAATCAACGAATCTCCGTTTATTTATGCTTCGAAAAATCAATATTAAAGAACAATTTCTAAAATTATTTATTTTCAATACCTGTTTTAAATTATCCTTTTTTCACAACCACTTTTTAACACACAAAACACCACTTTTAAATGTAAATGAGGATGGTATAGAGTTTTGCTATTAAGCCTTTTCATCATTGTGCTAATATACAACCTAACAGTCAATATGCAGTTAGAATTAAATACAAATATCTAATGTTGAACTTATTTGGTTGTAAGCGTTTGAAGACCTTGAACGATTTTATTTTCCCTTGTTCTGGTTCCAACAAAATTTATTACAAGCTACATGAACTTTCAAACTACCCTTGTTAAACGTTTTATGTATTTGACACAAAATGATTCAATTATAAAGATTAAATACGGACCATATCACATAAATATTGAAAAGATCATGATTTGAAGATATGTCCCGGAAAGATGTGACCAAACCGGAAAACCGATTTATACTGAAAACAGCAGGAAAAGCCCGCCTATCATTTAATCCTTTTGTAGTGTTAGCAGCGAGTTTCTTTTGTGATGTTATAAGCGAGTTTTTAATGTTCAACCGCAGTTATCTCAAAAAGGAATGAAATAATAACAATGGGAGTTCAAAGAACAAGAAAGGAAGCCCACTTACTCGCTCTTTCTCGCTCGGAAGCCCAGTACACCAGTCCATTCATTAGCGCGGGAAACTGTACAGGGCGTGTTCTTACTACATATTAGCATGTGTGAGCGTGCAGAACGTGCATTTCACTTATCGTTAGATAAAACTGCAAGCATTGTAACCAGACACCGTATGACTGCTGAATGGGGTGGGATGTAAGGGACATAACTCGTATAGTTCTGTAACAATGTCGTGATGATACTGTACAATTAGAAATTAACGAGTAGCTCCATGGTCTATTATTCCTCAAAACAAGTAAATCATTGGGGGGTGGGTCTGTTTTCAGCTATCGTGGAAGGGTTTGTTTCTTTGTCCAGTGGAGTAAAATCTGCTCAATGCCAATTTGTTTGGTTAAGGCAGAGACGTATATAACACATATATGGCTTTATACGTCTGGGGCAGTTTGAAATCATATTATCAGTTTGAGTTTAGAGGTATTTTTTTCAGTTTGAGTAAACCGGATTCAGGTCTACCTCGATAAGATGACATGTTGTAAATTAATTCTTCCGCATACTTCAAACTTCCCGGGGAGTCTATACATTTTGGATAGTTGTATTTCACTATAAGGGACAATGTACCAGTAATACATGCACGATCTGTGCTGTCTCTTCTCGGACAATATAGCGCAGATAAACAGCGATAGCCTTTATTATTTTTGTAAAGATTTTCTATGAAGCTCTCATATACAAGATTTAGTAACGCAGTCCCACACTTTATGATATAGTGTGGCGCAAGGCAATTTTATACCTATCTCATATATTTTAGGATATATCTCATAAAATTACAGAGCTATATCTACTGGTTTATGAGATAACTTATACGTGATTTATCTATTATCTTAGCCTATTTACTGTGTGCATTGATCATTTATATTTAAGGATTTGGTTTGTTGTATAAAGTTTAACGTCCTATCAACAGCAAAGGTCATTTAAGGACGTTCATTTAAAGAAATCCAAACATAAATCACTTTCAAATAAACGAATATATTTCATCTAAAGAAATATCAATTTCATTTAACGATACATGATTTGATTATTTAGCGAATCCTTTTAGTAGTTGGCTTGATCGCTATTTATTGCAGTGATAGTGTGAAGTGTTTTATTACAAAGAATGTACAGGTAAAGTAACTGTCATGACATAATCAGATTTACAGCAATAATACTGCCCCACACCTAAGTTTCATTCAACAAATATTATATGGATGTTGTCTGGGTTGCATTTAGAATTTACAATTCTTGGTTGAAATGCGAATGTACTTTTTGGCCAATTCGTTCGGAATTGACAGAATAGTACCTTGTTTTAAACTTTTTAAAGAAAATTGTCATTATATTATGAGGGTAACTTCGGCCTGTTTAATGACAAGAAAGACATATTTTCTGCAAATGTAAGACAACTTTTCGGATTGAAACTGGAGCAGGGGCAGTCACTATCTGAATACATAAACAATTTATTTATTGTATGTTTAATGCTCTTAACATAAGCGCACTTTAAGAAAAACCTTCTATGGAGCTATAAGAACACATGTATTTTAAACGTTTTCCTAGGTGATATGAATGACAGGATGATTATTTATTAAATGTATTCCAAATGGCGTGGCTTACCCGACGAACAACTGTTAACCGACTTGTAAATATGTTTATCTATTTTTTGATTTATAAAGATGCTTAAATTGAATTTGTCACGATAATGTGACGTAATTATGTGTTTAAGGACCTCATTGGAAATAATTGGCAATTATTTTATAGAAATCCTAATAATTCTGTTTAAACCAGAGAAAATATAAGTGATAGTTGTTTAAAATATGACTATTGTATTGTTTTAGTAAAAAAAAAAAATGACGTTTGAAGAAATGTGTTGCTGGGATCATTCCTGATTATATCTTTGACATTAATATATTATGACGCTTGCCTACAATCAAATCAAATCGTGATACTTACATATGACATATCTGTACAGGTGTGTAATCTTTACCAGATGATACAGGTAAAATATATAGGTCACATTATCACGTGTATACAACAAATGTGTTACGACCATTAATACACCTTTATGATGTATACTGCGAAGAGTAATTTACATATATATATACGAGGACAGGTAGGAAATAGAAACCTATTAGATTAACAAAGGTATACTGTGTTTACCTGTATTTACATACAGGTATCAGGTAACGTTGCATCAACACAGAACTGCTAACACCGCCCCAACCCACACGGAGCAGACCAGTAAATGGCCATACTTCGATCGATTTTTGATGCCAGACAAAATACCAAATCGGCAAACAACAATATTTTTTAATTGATTCATCGGAAATTAAACATCACGGGTTGTCATGGAGCTGGATGAGGAACGGTCTGTACAAACACTTTTTGTTGGACTGAATTATGGGGAGGTGAGGGATGGGGTGATTGTTGGAGTGAATTAATCTGTAATAAAGCCAACAGATGTGGCTTCACAGCGAGTGCTCCCCCACCCTGGCGTATATTGTTTAGCGCCAATAACAAATCAATATTCGTTCATGGTACCCTGTACAACCAATTTCTATAAGGTTTTGAAAGGGGAAAAGAAAATGCAAGACATTGACGCGAGAAATATATTAAGGATTAATAAAATATATTAATGAAACCAATGGAAAAAATGATGACGGTTTCTCGCTGAAGAAAAGGAAGCGTTTGTTTATAGGAAGAGTTTAGTTATAGCAGCCATATGGGCCGCACCAGTACTGGAGAGCGGCTGGTGTGTGAACGAGAGCGGGTAGTCAGCCACTGTACCACAATCACTCCAAACCGAGAGGCTGAGTCACGTATGCACCGATTGGTGGTAATGATCAAGATGGAAGCAGAATCAAATTCACAAACCGTGACGGTTTTGCATATGGCCGACTAAGGTCACAGGACTGTGTCAGTGTAAATAGAGAAGTGGGGACGTACGTGTGTTGTGTACATGTAGATTGTTAGTGTTTACGTATGTGTTTATGGAATAATCCGGTGAACGTGCGTTAGTATACATATGTCACTACCGTTGTCAGAGGAAGGACTTCCGTTTCGTTAATTATACCGTAATTGTGATGATGGAAAACAAAGTAGGATTGATAGTGCGAAGGAATATACATGTAATGTCTTACTGGACGGTGTGACGTCTGGGCAACCGACTTGACACCTGTCACATAGTGTGATTATAGCAATCACGTCATTGGAGACCGCAGACGGAATCCTGTCGCCGAGAACAGCTGGTATCGATCTCTTGACAGATCGATTGACGGCTGATTGGGATCGATATTTAAGTGATTGGAACTGCCAGGTAAACGTATACCTGTTAAAGGTGATACGTGGATGCGGGACGGACTTGTTTACACCTGCTATAGGTAAACATTGATAGGTATATCTATATACACTAGTCTTAATGTCAAGTATTAACATAACAACATTAGCATAGCTTGCAGACAATAAACCTCGTAAAATTATGATAATTACATTTAATCTGTAATACCATTATGTCTAATATTGATCATATATAGTCGTTAACATGGAATAACTATACGTCGAAATACTTTTATAGATATAGATTACTTAATGAATGTATAATGTTTGAAAGAAATATATACCAACAAGGTTTAGCCACGGAATTAGATTAGACTGTGATTTATTAGAGCGAGAAAAAAAAAGTGCGAGTTGCAAATGTGAAATTCTGTCTATTTTATCATAAATCAAGAATATAAACTAAAAGATAATATACATAAGTCTTGGATGTAGTTAATACGTCCGGTAAGTGACGTTTATTAAGTCAAGTTTGTATTTTAGCATATTTAGTTAATCTCCGATTTGGAGGATGGACCGAACAATTTCAGGATATGCAAATACGCATCGCTGTAGGTCACGGTTGACTGACATGGGTTTCTATAGGAGCTTGAACACACTCCTTTATGACTAATAGAACTATACAATATTACTGAGTGACCCATAGCGAGAAATCATTACAACACTTGATATTACTCTGTTAGGTCTGCTTACAAATAAGTTCAAATCACAAATCGGGTTTCAAATAATTTTTTTTTTAAATAATTTGATTTGTACCGTCAGGCTTCGATGTACATTTTCGAATGTAGTGTATAAAGAGTTACATCAATTAGTACAGTTTATGTAGTTAAATCGCGGAAGTACAGAAGATAAGACACATTTAATTTGATTATACAAGTCTCTGCCGAGATTCTACATATGAAGTTATCATTGAGCGTGGTGCCTTTATTTCCAGCCAACAGGGATATAGCGACTAGGTAGGCCAGTGTAGAAGTATCCTCACTTCGGGGTGCATCAGTTTCCATGGCGGCCCGGGGTGAACCAGATGCCCAGCTCGACCCCCCGGGGTCACTGGCCGCACCCACAGTTCAGGGATTACCCAGGGGGTGGTCCCCCACCCGGACACGAGAGGAAGGTTGTGATATGACACCCCTACAATGTAGATCACATAGACAATTCTGTGTATATTTGTGGTGTATAGTGCTTTTCCTTACAATTTTGGAATGTTCTGCAAACAGCTACCGCGAGAATGAAGCTACAGCCGTGGTAAGTTGCTTAATTACAATTACACTAACACTATAATTACGCTATCTAAACTTAAATGCTCCAAAACAAGGGGTAAAACTGTCCAATTATAAATAAAATAAGTCCCTGGTCACGGAACAGCTCCCTCTGACTGTCTACTTTCAAGTTTCTATCAGTTTTAATCGTCAAGTTCTTCATTACCTTAGCCAAACATAGAAGAATTCACAATCTCGGTGTCATTCTCGTCCACAAATACACGTAATAGGATATTGTAGAGAGACACCCCTTGTTTCATTTGTACATATCTTAATCATTTCTGTCTTACTGTTTATATATAATCAGTTAAACATCATTAACATCATTGTGACGTCACGATAATACCTCCGGGTACTCGCAGTCGGCACATAGTTCTATGTGTTTGTTATGTTTTCCCTCTCGTTACCAGCTGTATTCAACCTTGCATGACGCTGTTGAATTTATAATTTAAAAATCACAAAACGCTAATTAGGTTCCGGTAAATTTACACAATCTGCCTATTCCAAACGTCCGATATGATGCTCCTAATTCGAATGTGTATAACTCATTAATTAGCTCATTAGCGTTTGGAAAATTTGAGATAATTTTGAGTCATTGATGTTTTCCTTATCATTGAAACCAAAAACGAAATAGGCAAACTGGGATTCAAAATTGTCACCATCGAAGGATGTCAGCTGAGACTAATTATTTTGAATCATTGCTGAGAAAATTTGTTACCAAATGACAAAATGTACAAAATTATAATTTTCCTTAATGATGCTCCTGTTTATTTAAGTCGATATACCAATAAAACACACTAATAAACATGTACAATACATAATAACGGGATGGTTTATAGAAAACCTGCACATATTGGTTTGAAACGGATGAAAGCTGTTATAGAAAAAATATTTGTTTCACACAAAAAAAACATGGCATTTAAGACTTATTTTATCTTTTTTCTTTGTCTGGTGTATTGTTTATCTGAAATGACGATCTGGTTACCATATTGAATGATTTAGGAATGAACTGGAAACCTTCTATATACAAAATGAAGTTAGAATAGGATTACCCAGCATCAGTGGCATTCAGGGCAACATAACACGGCGCTATACTAACCCACTGACACACACTAAATCTCATTATGATATCATAATTCCGCTAGAGAGCGTTATTATTGTCCCACTGTATATGTGATCATACTTGTATAAACAACCGAGCCCTTCACCGGTGGTCCGTCCACGGGAAAGATCGCACCTGTTTTAGAAACCCTCCCAGGACCCATGTTCGTGTACCTAATTAAATTTTGTGCACTTGTAATACGGAATACACACTTTAACAAATCGCACATTATACTATACCCTGGAGCGGAAACCTAAAAATGTCATTAAACTTTGCTAGCCGAACATCTAAAGTTCATTTTCATTTTTTTAAGAGTTTTAATGTCCCATGCCCGAGGAGGTCATGGGCGAGTACATACTGGTTAGATACATAGGTACGATAGAATACGATATACATATATCTTCTGGGTAAACTTCTTATTTAAAAGCTTTATAGTTTATGTGAAGTGGTTTTTGTTATTCAGGATTGCAGAAAAGAAATGTAGAAAGACATCTTCTAGCGTTAGTTCTGTTCTGGTTAATCCTTTACAGAGCTGTTCGTACAGTCTTCCCGTCTAAAGTAAAAGTCAGTTTATTGCATTAGACGTTATTTGTCGACTGATTGTATTTATTTTAATGGTATGTGAGTTCTTTTGTAGTAGGTAAAATGCTATATATATACTACAAAATTTACGACACATTTTTTCTCTCCAATTATCCACACAAAATGCATCCCTCTGTTCATTGTGTGACGGCCATTGCCTTTTAATTAAAGAAACATGGATTGTTTTGTTTCGTAGTTTTAATGATAGGGATAACGTAACAACCTTATTGTGATAAAGTCAACACAAAATTATAATCAAACATTGAGTATACTTTTACACGTCAAACAGCTGGCTGCGAATAAAACAACAGTCGGTCTATAAAACCATGTGTGTATATGCCTATATATCTGTTCAGTCTGCGAGGATCGGATGTCTGTAGGGAAGATAAGCAGTTTAATTGCAGATAGCATAATTAGTTTACTTGAGTGTCTGTGGGTATCCCCACACACTACAAGGCCAAATGATACGGAGGGAACACACGAGTTACGGTAGAGCCTTCAAACTGTGCCGCTTAGAAAACAATACACGGAAACGCGCCAAATTGCTGTCTTTGCCAGCAACTTATCAAACTTTAAATTGGTTTCGTATTTAATTTTCAAGTCATACAAAAACCCCAAATGAGCGAATAAACGCGGAAACTTTCCAAGATTCTAAGTAACAGCGATCATTTTCTACATCGCGGTAATATATGTCATCCTGTAATTTAACACATTGCCGGAACGTGTCATAGGTGTATGATGGTGGTTTTTGTGTGAGTCATACTTTTGGAGAAATCCTTGTATGCTTCAAATATTCTGCTACTCGATTTTGTTTTACTAATACATTTGGTCCACATAGATCTCCCAACGATCATAATATAATTTCATAGGGAATGTGGTCCAGGTCTTCAGAACTGACGTGTAAAACATAGTGAGATTTGTACTCCCTTTCATTACCCTAATAAGAAACATACTACTTCCTGTCTGATTTATTGAATTAAAACTCCCCGGAGCCGTTTAAACCCAAACATAAACAGATGGGCTTGGGTAGAGTCGATAGCTCTTGGTTTTGGCTCCAATCCCCCCTCCCCCTACCCTTTCTCTGTATCTCTACCATCTCTTAGCCCAGCTCCTTCCACGTGTCTAACGCCCCCCTCCCATCCTCCACAAATACACTCCAGAACCGCTAAGCCAAAAAATTCCTTCCCAAAACTCCTCTTTATATTAGCCCACTTCGTTACCCGCCTCTATATTAGCCCACAAGCTAACGTGATCTATACATCCTACATGTAAAGGTTCTTTGTTTACGACGTATAGCATGCTATTCTATACTTATAGTCTTTTAAATTGCTATCTCACAGTAACACATAAGATGAAATGGCTTATATAAAAGATTAAGTTTATTTATGAATTTTACATATATTGATCACTATTGTTGGCTCGGATGATAGTGCGCGGGGAGTCTTAATGTGGAAGGAAACCGGACTACCCGGAGAAAACCCATGTGTTAAGTTGCAGGTGACCCCATACCTTTTCATGTCCGACTGGGGAACCGAACTTCGGCCGACCTGATGAAAGGCGAGTGCATTATCCACTGAGCCATCAACCATAACGAGACTGCATATTGTTACACTATATTTTCCGATTATAGATAACGATTAATGTAATAAGGTGCAATCGAACATTGGATTTTATTGAAATTGTTCTCTGTTAGGTTACTGCTAATATCTTGTATTTTATGAAACAGCAGCACTGCAGTATGCTACACAATCTCTCCAACCTAGCCCCATCCCACATGACCCCTTAAACACTTAAATGGAAATATAGGACCCCAAGGAACCAAACGAGTGATACTGGTCGAATGGCACCTTGCAGTCTGTCAGAGACGTTTGAACTTTAAAAATTCGAGATTATCTGAAGTCCTTGGGCATGTCTTCTGAGTAAAACATAAACAAAACTTTATTTTGAAGGAATAGAATATCTAGAGGGAAAGGATTTTGAAATTTTGAAAAGTAAGCACAATGATTGTCTGTTGCTAATAACGACCGTATCATTGATTGAAATTCAATGAGTAACAGCAGACATGTTCCCCGAGGAACCGGAACGAGAGGAAACCAGCGATGATATTATATATCTTATCCCAAGAGGAATAAGACCCCAAAAAGTATAAACAAGCTAAAAACACGATACACCACTTAGTCGAGCGATAAGAAACCAATTATACAATATATATCGTATATCTCTCTCAGAACATTGACCGAATGTCTGAAATAAATATATACATTTCTCCAGAACATGTCCTGTGGACGAGGCTGTTGCCCGCGTGCCATTCTTGGTTTGCTATCGATGGCACGATAGCGGCCAACCATGATTCCAGACCGATTTAATAATTCAGTACATTATACAGCTATATAGGTTATTGGTACCCTAAAACCTGGTGTTGTCATGGAAAATAACACAGGGATGCTCAATGTTATAGATATATAGCTTTCGTGTCCTTATTTTATTTGCCGGTTGGTTTGAAAGCTTTCGAAAAAAATGAGCAATTTAGATTCTCAACGGTGTTGTGGGACCGGGCTTGAAATAAAATTACTAGTAATTTATGATCTCGCTTTATGTTTGAAAATTTACTTATTCGATTTCTAAGTAAACATGCCCGTCACAAAATTATCATGCAAGTAAACTTTATTGACGAATTAAGTGGAGGTTCTCGTCCCGCTGTGGCATGGTGGATGGTCGAAAACCCTTCTAGTAATAGTATTATAGACACGCACCGTGTGTGTCTGGGGGCATTTCAACTTTTGGGTATTGATGTCTATTAAGTTTCCTTCACGCATGAAATTGCATATGGGCTGAATTTTTAGGCCCCTGTAAATCACCATTTTGCAATCTATATAATAGAGAGGAATACTCTCCTGGCCGATCTCTTGTTTAAATATGAGCGGACGTTGGTTGCGCCTTCAACGTCATTGGTACTCACACGGATCTCAATTTTCTTTGCTGAACCTGTAAACGGTTTGTTACAGAATGAGGTCATGGTTTCCTGGGGCATGAGGTCACTGGTCCGAGCCGTTGAATGGGTTTTACGTCCCCACACAATAACTGAGAATCCCTCATGTTCCGCGTGGAACAGCTGAAGTTATCTCGTCTTGGTATCAATGGAAGCAGTCTTTGTTGGCGCGAGTGCGTGTCAATGTCATTCATCAAGGTCACGTCATGACTTTGTGAGAAGTTACTAGTTTGTTGTACGTCAGCTGTTGGACTAAACTTACTGTCAGATTTGGCTTNCCCCCCCTTCTCTTCCTTAACCCTCCCAGTCCCCC